TAACCTTGTCCTGCCTCATTTGTGCCCCTTCTCCAAGGCCCCACCCCTGCTCATTCCATCCTCCCTACCTCCCCCATCCTCCCTCACTTTCACCAGGGAGGGGCAGTGGGTTGGGTTGTAGGCTCTGGTCTTGGGCTAAGGTTATTTGGAGTGCGAGAGGGGCTCTGAGCTGAGCTTGGGGCAGGCAGTTGGGGTACTTGAGGGAGTTCTAGGTGCAGGCTCTGGGAGGGTATTTGGGTGCAGTGGTGCTTAGGGTTAGGGGTACAGGAGGGGGTTTATGATTGGGGTAGGGTTTCAAGATGTGGGCTCTGACTGGACACTGCTTACCTCAGGTGGCTCCTGGATGGTGGTGCAGTGGGGCCATCACAAGTCCTGTTGTGCCCCCTCTCTTCTCTGTGGAGATAAGATACAGGCTGGGAAAGGGGGCACCTTGACATCAGCGCCCCTCTTCTCCCTGCCCTGACCTGCACAGCAAGCAGGAGGCTCCTGGGGGTGGGAGGAGGCAGCTCCAAGGCAAAGGGCAGCAGATGTGCAACAGTAGTGGGAGGGGCAGCTGAAGTGCCAGGACTTGACAGCCTCTTGGCCAAACCAGTCAAGATCACCTGTCAGAGGCTCCAAGATCGACCGGTAGATCCCGATCTACTGGTTGGTGACCACTGGCTTAAGGTATGTGTACTCCAGCTACACTGTTTACATACCTTAAGCCGAACTTTCAGGCCTAGTACTGTATAGACCTGGTCTTACTGTATTTGGATTTTAGGAGTTTGGAATGTTGTAGACTTGTGTGAACTGACTAGCATACAGTTGTTTGACTGATAGGTGTCTAATGATCAGTTTTCTGAGTGTTGGCTTGTGATTTCTTGGGTAATGTATTATTCAGATAAGACCTGGATGTGTAGCAAGTGTTAATTATAGTGGCTGGTGAAGATCCATGAATGTGTTAGATGATTAGAGTGCAGCAAGTGTGTTGGACACACCTACGTTCTCATTGTGTTGCAAGAACTTCCCCAGGATACTTTGGCATGTGATAGCTTTTAAATGTCATGGTACGCTTAATTTGTGTTGATGGAAAATACTCAATTTTCAGGTGCGCCTGCTATATATCTGCTTTGTTGTTTGATTTTTTTTCATTGTATTACATTTACACTTTATATCATGTATCTGGATATCAGTCAACATTTACCTTTTCTCCTTCAACAAAGAAAAAAAAATTGAAACCTAGTTATACGTCTTAGCCAACTATATTTCCCTTCATTCTTCATCCATGACTTCCTAAGACCCAAAAAAACAACCAAAATTGCTTACATTTGCTTGCATTTTTCTAACTTAAAACCTAGGCAATATTAGTGCTTTTTTTAAAGGGATGGAAACTCCTACATTTTACATTTGGGTTATGCTACAGATAAATTAGGTGAACTGTGATTGATTCTTTGGGAAACAGCCCATTTAAATTGCTACACATAATTGAGCACAATGAATAGTTATAGGAAAACATAAAATGGAACTAACTGCCTCTCCCCACTAAAAGCAGTTGTTGAAAAGTGAGTGTGAAAAAGATTGTATTCCAGTCATTTTTGCACTGTTTCTGACTGTTGGTTTCTTTCAAAAAAGAAGAAAAATTTTCAAAACTGTCATTCCCTTAACTCTTAGAAGCTTAAATACATACATACATATATATATATCAACAGAAGGTGATGTGATAAAATTTTGGTACCTGAAAAGCCACAAAACACTTTAGTAGGTGCTAAAAGCTTAAAATCAGAAAGAATCATGTTGCCAAATGCAGAATGTCAGTACTCAGCTGCTGGAACGAACCTTTTCTTTGTTGCTTCATGCTTCTTTTTTCATTGCTGGAAAAACTAACAGCATAGTCGTCAGAGGAAAAATACACTCTCTGCACAGTTGTAAAAGAACATGCAAACCATTATAATTTCCCCTTTGTTTAGAAATGGTAATAGAATGGAACATTTAGGTGCTGCCTTGCTCTTAGGACGTGTGTGGGAGAGGGAGAGAAATGTAAACAGAACAATAAAAAATGCTGCATCCTTTGCAACTCATAATATAACTGAAATTCAGGAGTTACATTTTTTTTTCACTGACGGTGTCTTTAATATTGAGCAAATTATGTCCCCCTTGCATGAGAGTGGAGAGTGACCCTAGTGAGGGTTTGCTCCACAAGAGGGCAGCATAGGAATGAGGGGCAGGATGAGAGGAAGTTTTTATTTTTTGTATGCCATGGGGCAATCCAGTGCACGGGGGCTTTCCAGTTGCATAGAGGGGGTGGAGTGCATAAAAGTCACAGAGCCACTCCACTAGCCCTCTGTAACATATGCCAGAGGCATCACAGATGGAGGCATGGGCATTCGGGCTTAGCAGTCAGTAGGGAGTCAGAGGCCAGGGCTAAAGAAAGAGTCAGGAACCAAGCAAGGGAGCAGACTTGACTGCCAGAAGGGGCAAGATCTCAGGTGGAACGGTCAGGGCTTGGGACTAGCCTTCCCCTTTCATCACTGCCTGGCGTGCGCTGCCATTTTAAAGGGCCCGGGGCAGTTGCCCTCTTTGTCCCTTTCATTGGTGGGCCTGTTAGGCTGCCTCTCTTAAAAGAGGGTGATGGTTTTCTGCGGGTGGTTAAAAATACCTGTGTGTATAGATAAGAGAGGGTGTCTAGTATGTACATAATAAAATGCCATGAGGTTACTAGTGTATCAGGGGAAGATGGATGACAGTAAAATCCCCATGTTAACTGCATGTTAAACTTAGTAATTTCTTTATGCTTTTGAGGATGACCTGAAGCTATTCTTTTGGTGCTCTACTACAGCAAAAAAGAAGGAAAACTTTTAAAATCGGCATAAAAACACTCAGTGCTATTTTTGTTTGTTGGGTAAGGCAAGTTATTACATTATACTTACTGTAAGTCTACACTGGAATTATAACCAGAGGCTGCAGCTTGGGTAGACAGACTCAAGTTAACTTTAATGTAGCTGGTGCAGGTCCCAGAGCAGTGAAGCCATGGCAGCATGGACTCATAGGTGCAGGAAGTAGGGGTGTGGAGGGTGCTGCAGCACCCCTAGGTTTTCCATCCACCTTTCCTGTGCCCAGAGACTACCCTACCCAAGTCGTGGTCTATAGTAAGGATATTAAATATCAATTAATTTACTAGTTGAGTAGTCGATGGAATTTCCATTGACTACTCAATTAGTCGAAAGGTACTTCCACATTCCTCCTTTGAAATGTATGAGAGCTCCAGTGGGAGCTCTTGTGTATTTCAAAGCTGGAACTCTATGTGCAGCCCAGGGCCAGCGGAAAGTCCCACTGACTCTAGGCTCCATGCAGGTGCTTCCACTTTGAAAGTGCCCGCATGGAGCCTGGAGTCAGCGGGACTTCCCACTTGCCCCAGACTGCACACGGTGTGCCAGCTTTGAAATGTACAAGAGTCCCCAGCAGGGGCTCTTGTGTATTTCAAAGCGGCAGCGCCGCATGGACCCAGGGACAGCTAGGGAGTCCCCTACTGACCCTGGGCTCCAAGCAATGCTGCCTTGAAATGCCACGGCAACGTTTAAAACGGGCAGCACCACACAGTTGTTCCCAGGCTCTGTGTGGCACTGCCCCTTTGAAACGCCACTGCAGCGTTTCAAAGAGGCAGCACTGCATGGAGCCCGGTGTCAGCTCCATGCAGCACTGCCCCTTTGAAATGCCACCATGGTGTTTCAGAGCGTCAGTGCCTCATGTACCCTGGGCTCCATGCGGCACTGCCATTTTGAAGTACCCCCTTTCTCCTTCCCTCCCCCTTCTTTGCTTAGTCTAGCTGATAGAGGCAGCAAGGGCGGGGCAGGGGAAGCAATTAGTTGCTTATCAGATAGTCGACTAGTCCTTAACATCCTTAGTCTACCGGCAGCCCCTGCAGGTTCCGCCAGCCCCAGCACTCCCAGAGTCTCATCGCCTGCCGTCCCTTGAGTCTAGACCACTGCCCTGGAGGCTGCGCTGCTGCTTGGGGCACGGCCACCAGCTCGGAGCTCCACAGCTATCTCCATCTGCGGCTGAATTGCCAGTTCTCCCTAGCTGGATGGACCAGACCCCATTTGCAGGAATGGCCTGCAGGAGAGCTGGCAATCCTAAGTGTGACTCTAGCTTGGGGCAGTGAACGGGTGTGTGTGTGGGGGGTGGGGGGCACAGCTCAGCACCCCCACCCTAAAAATAGTCCCAGTGCTGCTGCACGGGCCTTGGTGCAGGCCTCCCATTCAACATTTTTCCACTATTCCAGGAAGGCTTGTATGGGCTGTGCTGAAACCCATGTTGTAACAGCTTCACTGCTCCAGTACCTATGCTCGCTAAATTAAAGTTAGCTGGGGTATGTACGTACATGCTGCAATCACAGCCTGTGACTGCAGCCTAGACATACCCATAAGCGATCTAAACAGAGGTGAATATTGCTGTAGCTCCTCTATTGTATTTAATTCAGGTGGATTTTTTTTTCTTGTATTTGTTCCCTCAGAATAATTTTGTAGTTCCAGTTCATCAGCACTGTTTTATATTTTATAGCTATACATGTAAATGTCAAGATAAAATAAAATAAAGTAGTTAAAAAAGCCAGTGATACTTGTTTGGTAAATTTGGCATGACTCTATGAAAATACTTGTTGTTTGCCTCATGTAGGAGAGCAGAGTAAATATTTCTTCAGACCACAAACTTGCCGCTTGGGTAAGATTATCTTAGTATTTGTGTCCTTGGGCTAGAGCGGGAAGGATAGAGGGGGAAAAATAACATTTTGTTTGTATTCCCCTTTCTTCTTCAATGATAGAGTCCAAGCAGTCTTGAAATTGTAGTGTAGAGATAAATCATTTGTCTCGGAGACAGTTTTTGTATAACATAAAAAATTCTCAGATGAGGATTTCAACCCATATCTGAAATGATCATCTTTCTCTGTGCTAGACAGTTGTACCTGTAAAGTTCCTCTCCCACACAGACTAGCTTGACAGTCAACATTTTATTTTTAGTTTCCCCTATGAAATGCAAATTCAGAGAATCTTTAAAATCAATTACAAACACTCTGAAAGCTTCAGTGATTTGAATATGGCAGTAGCTGCTAATGATAAAAGATGTTCAAAAAGCTTTGTGCATAGAAAAGTGAAAGTAAAAAAAATGTGTTAGGGAAATGAACAGAAGAGTCTCAAGTGAGGGACAAAGCAATGTTGTCTGAAGCACGTTAATACAGCAAGGGAGATCAAAGGGTGTGATGTCACTTTATAGAGAAACAGGTCAGGCAAGCCCAGGTAATGCAGGAAGCAGGATACTAATTATTCACAGAAGAAAGTCAGGTATAGGGTTGCAGTGCTACAGTAGAAAGTTTGGAGGTCAAAACCGGCACAGTAACTGACTCAACTTGAAACTGCTTGGCCAGTTGATAAAGAATTGTGTGGGTTTTTTTAAAAATGGGAGAGAATGAAGCAAGTTTGCCCAATTCATCCTTGCAAGGTAAGCACACACAATGTGTAAAACAGCTTCATTGTCAGAGAGAGTGGGTATTAAATCACTGTGAATGTGTGTTTCTGTTTGGCTTTCAGCAACAGCAGCATGTGCTGCTTGACATACTTGTTTCTGCATGTGTATGCATTTTGGGAGAAAGAAGAAAAGTCAAATCTCAGGGTTTACATCATGTTTTCTGTGTGAAATGCTGCATTAAGCCAGAGGAGAGTGAGAGAATATGCCACAGTTGTTTAGCATTTAGTTGTCTGGAGGTCTTCAATTATTGACAGAGGTTCAGTATTTAACCATCAGCTTACCTGTGGATTTTTTGGGTTTCAGTCTGCAGTGAAGCTTAGTTATTTCCTAGCCTTTTTAGTTGGGAGATAATTAACACTGTCATTTTGTCTTGATACTACAGATGCATGCAACAGGTGTTCAGAGCTGGGGGCAGCCTGAGCAAGAATGAAAAAAAAATACATAATTTTTCCTTTTCACTTCCCATTTTTTTCACTTTTTTTCCGTGTTACTTTTTTTTGGGTGCTAACATAACATTGATTTATAAATGCTAAAGTGGCTCTTGTAACCACTGCCAACATCAAGGCTGGTGGCAGAAAGGAGCTCCATGGTCTTTTCTGAGAAGGCTGATATTTTCATAGAAATCTGAGCGGGGCAGTTGGAAAGCTTGTATTATCCTTGTGTATTCTGTCTTTAATGTGAACATTTTTTTCTCTAGTCCGGCTTTGAATTCTCCAGTTAGTGACAACTCCTTGAGAGGCAATTCCATGTCTTTATAGATCTTTCCAGTTAGGATGTGTTTCCTGACATTCAGCCTAAATTTTCCCTTTGCTCAATCCATTTTCTTTAACTTTCCCCTAGCTTGTAACTGAGAAGTCACCATAAATTCTGCAGAGTGATGAAGGGTGAAACTCATGGAGTTGGAGTCTCCAACTACTTTTTGGGTTTGTAAGGAACACAAAGCTACATTCAATTCATAAATGTTTTTTTTCTTACACCTAAAATCAGTGTGTGGCTTTCTAACCAAAATAGTACGTGTGTGTGTGAGTAAATGAATTCTTCTTAGTGTCTGATTCTCACTAATATAAATCAGAATTAATTCCATTATGAGTTACTTCAGCGTAAAACTATTGAGAGAGACGAATCAGGCTTTTATTTTTTTATTATAATATATTTTTCTCTCCCTGCTCCTTTTGTGTCAGTCTCTTTCTCTCTGGGCCTGCTTTGGCATTCATTTACTAACACAAACTGCACTGCTGACTTGAATATTTTTAAGAGTATTTCTTTCTGGGAGCAAGAAAAAAAAAATCACATGACCTTTTATTTCTCGCTTGTGAGTCTAAAAGACCTTTGAATGTCATGATGATGAGAGGAAGATTTTTTTTTCATTTTGCCTAGTGGAAACACATATGGTTGCATACTCTTTAGACATACTGGGATTGATTCTTATCTCGGTTGTACTGGTATAATGAGGAGTTACTTCAGTGATACCTGTGGAATTAAATCACTTCAAAACTGATGTAAAATAAGGGCTGATGTGGCCCATTTTCTCATATGTAACTCCACCAAAGTACATGGCCCCGAATATGACCTCATTTGTACCATTTTTGCAGAAGCATAATTCCACTGACTTTCATGGTGTCCTCCTGATTTACACCAGTGGAACTGAGATTGGGATTAGGACCATGAGGTGAAAGGATTCTTTTCAGAAAAATAAAAAGTGTTAGGTGATCACTTTGTATCTTACAAACCATCCTGTTCTTCTGCATTTCTGTCCTGAAAGCCAGACACTTTCTTTGCTTGGTTTGTATTAGAAATACTCCAAAATAATTAGAGATTTGATATTTAAAGAGTCTACACCAAAGACCTCTCAACATTGCTGCTGACAAGATGGTTGAATTTCTCCTTTATTTATGTTTATGTTTAATGGATTTATTGCTTGTGTGAATTAGTGAAGGTGCTGAACAGAGATTCCGGGAGGCTGACCTCCTTTATTACCAGAACAGATACAGCAGGAACAGCAGGTGGTCAAACTTCCTCTCTCTGTCCTTCAATATGTCTCCATTGTTTAATGAAGGAACCACTTTTAGGGTGCCCAAAATCCAGTGCCATTGATTCAGTAGTCTTTGTGCAACATCTACTTGTAAGCGTGAAAATTAATGTTATTGATGGTCTTGGGATGAGGATACAAGTTGTACACCAGAGACTGGGAGCTGCCACCTCATTTCTTTAAATAGCTTCAGATGATAAAGAAAGGTGTATTTCTGCTTCAGGCTTACATAAATCAGCCACTTCCAGCCATCTGGTCAGTCTGAAATACAAGGTCAGTCTGCCATGGTAATTTTCTATTTCATTCCAACTAAAGTAACGAGAAATCTGTTGCTTTCCTCTGTTGCTGCGATTAGCACTTGCTCCCCTCTGTAAAGATTTTTCAGACACTGAGGTTGAAATGTTGCATACTTTCGTTTTCACTTGAATTTGCAGTAAGAGAGAGGGGTGCGGCTCTGGAATGGGTAAACAAAGAACAATAGGCCTTTCAAGTATTGAGTTTAAATTGATTCAAAATGATTCAGTTGTATTTTAAAAATCCATAGACATTTCCTATGTTTTTACACTTGTAGAGAAGATTCTGTAATTTTTATTTTTTTTTGGCATGGTTGGACTTTATTTTATAGTCTAAATTGAGACAAATTCCTGCACGAAGTGCACTTTGCGTGGATTTTTTCATGTGTGATTTGGAGAATTTGGTTACAATATGTCGAGGGCTGATAATGTTAGTAACTTATATTTGCTTTTGAGATGACATCGGTTTCTGCTGTATTGCGATGAAAGAGGACTAAAATCAGTCTGGTGAGAATGGATAATATGTTTCTCCTCCTCCCCTCTTCCCCCACAAGTCTTATTTGCAACCTTAGCCAGAGAGACATAAAGCTAATTATGTCTTTAACTAAAGCTGTAACATCTCAGGCTTTTTACGTCCTAGAGGGATAGCTGTGTTACTCTGTAACTTTAAAAAAAAAAAAACCCTTAAAAAATGAGTGGAACTGTAGCACCTTAGAGACAAACAAAAAATATAGATAGTATCCTGAGCTTTCATTGGCACAACCCACTTCTTCAGATGCCTTGGAGGTGCATTATTAAAATGTCTGTTTAAAATGCTTTATTTTGTTCTTGGGACTTGTATGATAAAAATTGCATCAGTATAATTAAATCCTTTTTCATTTTAAATGTGTACATACATTTAAAATTAGTTTATCTTAATAGTTAAGTAAGGTTTCAATGGGTTAAGAAGCAGCAATTTAGTTAAAGTCCTAAAATGCCCCATGAAATCAGTAGGATTCTTCCATTGATGTAAACAGGTTTCAGATTGAGCCCAAAGTGTGTCGTCTTAAGGGCTTTGTGCTGGGGGAACTTTATAGATCTTTTTTTTTTTTTTTGGTATGCTGGTGTAGTTATCCTGGTGCAATTTTTCTAATAGAGCTTAGTTCTGAAGGAAGAGAATCCTTTCTCCTCTTACATAAAGGGGCGAGAAGATGATTTCAGGAGCTCCCATGAGGAACGTGTGCACAGCACATAGAACAGAGTAAAAGTGTGTGTGGAGGGATGTTGCTCCATGGATAATCTAGTTTCTCCCCTTCCCGGTGTTGCCAACCTCCCAGGATTGTCTGTGGTCTTCAGGAATTAAAGATTGTGTTTTAATTAATGCTTATGCCATATAACGAAATCTCCAGAAATTGTCCAATTAAAGTTAGCAACCCTGCCCTACACACTGGACCCTGGGCCATGGAGGCTACTCCAACCAGGCACACTGTGGAGATGAATAAGCCTCCCTGCTTACTCTTAGGATGCATATTTTATCAACCATTGTTGTGTGAGGTGGCAGGTTTCCCCTTTGCTCCTATGCTAAGTCTACAATGGCACTTTATTGTGCTGCAGCTTTCTGGCTCTGCGGTCTGCAAAACAACCCACTCCAAGCAGTGCAAGTTATAGTGCCAAAAAGCGCCAGTGTTAGCTTCTCCCCTCCTGAGCATGGCTTACTTAGAGTGCTGGGAGAGCTCTCTCCCAGTGTTCCTGCTGTGGCCACACTCCCGCGTTAAATGCTGTCGCAGCTGCACTTTACAACTTTGAAATGTAAACAAAGTCTTAGACACCTGCATGACATCTGAAAATGAAACAGCCCTGTGCATATTTGTATTTGTGTGCAGTTTGGTCACTTCCTTTCAGTAATTTTGTTTCTTTTATGCAATTGAAAAAGTGGATTCTAAGATTGTTTTTCATTTGCTTTGATTTCTTTTTAATAACGTTTATCATGTTAGCATGAATCAAAAGCCACACATTCCCTTTGGCCCCAATTCTGCACTTCCCCTTTGGTCCCTGTTGAGCACTAGGTATGTGAGCACCAATGACATTAATGTAAATACTCGTGTATAAGTTTGTTCTCTTAAATTCACAAGCTTTCAGGTTAAAGAGTGGGTGATTGTGAACTAAAGCAAAGTGGCTAAATCTCCTTTCACACACCTACCTACAATGATTTTTACAATTGATCTTTTGCTGATGCAGAGGATTTTTCCTCTTCACTTTCCTATACTTACCAAATTACATATAAAACCCATAAACTCCTTTATATTATCCATAAACATAATAAAAACGTTTCACCACATAACTTTGACTTAGTCAATAATTCTAGACTTAGCCTGAGGGGTTGAAAAGAAAATTGTTTCTGTTACACATTTTAATTATGCCATAAACTTTGTGAAATAGCTATTGATCTTCAGCATCTGGCATCAGAAAAGTTGCTTGCTTTTTTGTTACTTAGCCTCTGAGTATTATTGCCATATAGGATAAAAATTAAAAATGTCCCAGAGCTTCAAGATGCACCATATGCAAAACAATAATAATATACTAAAAATATTTTGTCACCAAAGAATATTTTTACCAATTTTTTTTTCAACCACTTCTGGAGAAATTTGCATTCTAGACTCTGGAAATGCAAA